AAAAAAATGTCATTCATCTTTGCACCAAATGTGCACAATAATAAAGCATGCATGCATGCAGTGGAGGCAGTCCTCTCTTTGTCCCCTGCACTCTCTCTATAAGCTTTAGGTCCATCAAGGTGAACAAACATGGAATAGGAAAACAGAATTCATTAAAGCATAAAAATTGCATTTAATTACATCTAATGCACGATGCAAAAAAGTAATACTCCCATTCAATATAGTGAACACTACGCCATGCATACATGTGGAGCCCAGAGCAGCATTCATGCAAGAACTACTGTTTAAAAATGTTATTAAAATCAGGTCTTTGGTTTCTTTCTTCGAAGCTGGCTGCTGTACTTTAATCCAACCGTGACTTGCAGTGTGGAAATGATCAGGGTTAAAATGCATTATCAGACAGGCAAATGCTCGGTCCCCCTATCGCCATTTAACCATATCCCACCTCTCACACACACACACAAAGACCCCCATTTAATTAAACATTAAACCCCCTTACCTTGGGCAGAAAGAGGGACCCTTAATCCAACAGCCTCGGAGGTCGTCTCTTTCCAACACAAGCTGCACACATCAATCTTTTATCGCGCAGTGGGGGGATTTTTTTTTTATGTGCAAAACCCCAGATATCGCTGCAACAAAGTGATCTGGCTGATTGTCAATTTGCGACTTATTTCTTTCTCTTTCTATCTATATGAGGTTACTTGGTTTTGCAAGCTTAATGTTCTACACACCAAAAGACGACAGTTGCCTGACAGGAGCGACAGCTTTTATTGAAATATGGCATACCTCTGTTTAAAGGACAGCCGAGAGAAAAAAAGAAATAGAGAGGGGCGTCATTGGGTTAGCGGTGGGTTTTCTCCTAACATTTTTCGGTGCAGTATGAACAACGCACACAGCCGGGTGTTTTAGCTTCTGGAAAAGATTATAATTGAGGAATCCGCTGTCATATGTGCTCGTTTATCGCTTTTTTTCTCCCCCCTTTTGCTGTTTCTTCGCTGGGACCGGGCTCGTTTGGCTGGGCGTCGTCTTCTCGCTTTTAAATAACATAAAATGGAAGAAAAATGAAAAGAAACGCGGATGGTTTGTTTCGTTTTGGTGCCGAATTGTTGGAGAATTTCGACCGAGAAGACGCCTTTCCACCTCCCCCGGTTCGCCCCGGCCCCGCTTGTTACAATGTAACAATGGAGGAAGAAATTCTTTCCTGCAGACGTTTTTATACTCATTGTGAGGTCACCAACTCACCCTGCAATGAGGCATTCTGGGAAATTGAGTGTTTAGTTCAATTTCGCTATCTCTTTGTATGTTTTAGCTTGGTTTTATGTAAAATACGACTAAATCAGCTACTTTATTATACAAAATTAATTATTTATCACATCAAAAAAAAAAAATAAGATTAAAACCAAAGCGGCAGCATTGGCTGATATCCAGCATTTCTCTGTACATCATTATAAATCCACTTTTCCAGTGGAACTACATTTTGTGAACACTTGGGTGTAAATGAGTTATCTAAGGTTTTTAAATTGAAACTAAATTAAGATCCACTTTGGGGGAATAAAGTTTATACATTTTTTTTTTATCATTGAGGACTTGCTGCTGTTATTTAGATTTTTTCTTTTGCATATCCAAAATATAGTGACAAACTGAGGCTGGGCCTCTCAAAATAATGTGCCAGAGACCAGCAGTAGTAGCTGTTCTCTGTTATTGTGGCTTTTCCAGCAATCCCTATTATCATTTTGGCTGCTGGTAGGACATCTTTTTTTTTTTTTTTTTTTTGCTTTAGCTGTTGTTTCAGGCTCTTTTCCAACATTAGGGAATATGCGTAATATTCCCATTTGCTTAATATGTTCACCACCCCAGGAAGGCTCATCTCTTTTTCAAGAATTTCTAATTTCGAAATTACTTCTATGTGGTCCCACTGGCGATACACCAACGCATCACATTCACTTTGTTTCTTAGGGGCTCTTAAATCTCTTTCAATCAGGAAACATTTTTTAAGAGCCCTTTTGGCCTTGTGTCCTCAGATATATTTAAGCAATTTCTTTATTCCTGCGGTCTGGTTGTTACTATTAAAGCTGACCTAAAGAGGGAGTGGTTAATAGCAGTCTATTCATGATTTAATAGAGTGCTGGTTACGTTTTACATAGTTTAAGATTGGCATGGGTTTCCTTTTAATGAAAAACTGCCCTTTAAATTACCGGGGTCATTTTGTCAGATAAGAGCACACCAACATCTAAACCCAACCACAAACCACATTTATGAGTCAATAGAAACAAGTTTTATCCTGTGGAGGGTTTTCATTTGCCATTAGAAATTATTTGCTGCACTAATTCAGAAAATTGTTTTAAAAAGCAGCCATCTGAGATGTTATTCTATACCCTCATGGTAATATCATGATTTCCCAGCTCCACATCTATCATGTGAGTCTCTTATCCCCAGAGGCACAATATTGGATTGAGATCTGGTGACTGTGGAGGCCACTGGAGGACAGCAAACATCTTGTTCAGGAAACCAGCTCAAGATAATCAGAGCTTATTGACAGTAGCATTACCCTCCTGCAGCAGCCATCAGGTGGGAACAGTGCATTTATAACCATAATCAGGGTAGGATCTGGGAAATATACCAGAATCAGATGATAGAAAGAGACTACTGTAAACATGTGCAAAGACACATATGACCAGTTAGCATATCTCCTATGAACATTATCCAATTTAGGTACGCCAGTAGAAATTATAGCCTAGATTTCTTTATATTAACAAAGAAAGATGGCATTCAGTGTTGTTTTTTCTGTTGTTAAGGTCCATTTGGTTTGAATGTATAAACCTACAACTAGTTAAAAAAAAAAACTAACCATCCCATCCATTGCACCAACAACAATGTGCAAAAGCATTTGAATAAAAGATTTCAATCATTCTGATGACCGTTTTGATCTGTTCATCCTCAGCAAATATAAATGTCTAAAGCCGTAAGCAGGGTAAATGTTTAATTTGATTTTTGTGTTTAGTAGTTGAAATTGTGCTCCAAAAAAAGGTTTCTAATTAGTGCATCTCCTAAGAATCTTAAAAACACACAAGTTAATGTCTCATTCGCCAGTGATGGCAGGAACGACTACAAGAAGGATGGAATAACTTGGGGCTTAAGCTGCAGTAAAACAGCAGCTTAGGCAAAAGGCCAAACTCTTAATTTAGAGCTAAAAAAAATAAAAAATAAAATCACTGGGCTTTGGTTTCCAAGTTTGAAGACGTTTAATTTTCCATCCATAAAGCATCCTCAATGCAAAATGTCTGGAGTAGCGTTGAGCTCCAGGTTTTATAGAGTAGCCCGACAAAAGCCAATGGCTTAGAAAACATACAAATTGAACAAAAGAAAACAGGTCCAGCCCTTAGTAATGGGGAGTCGATAGGTCGTTGTTGGTCTGCAAATGAACCCAAAACTGGCCCATGCCTCTTAATTTTGAGCTTTATTTCGATTCTGACAAGAAAGTGTTGCCATATAAAACAGATCGTGACTATAAGGACCTGCTCGGTATGGCAGCCATGCTCTTAGAGATAAAACTGGAGATTGGGGGGAAAAAAGGGCTGGCCCCAAACCTCTAACCTGGGAAAGCCTTGGGATGGAGAGAAGGATGTCAGGGTTTCCCTCCTTAACCACTCTACATAAAATCTCAGGTAAGCAGAGCACAATAGTGTTGGCTGTTAGGATGTTTTCTTGAAATCATAAAACAGACAATTGTCAATACATTAGTAATTAGTTTAATAACCATGAGATGGAGCAAAAAGTCATATCTAAACAATATCAAGTCAATGACTGAATCCAAGTGGGCTGCATTTTTTCTAGCTACATGAAGCAATTACATTTAAAAGCCTTTTGCAGGTGTTAATGGTTAAAATCAACAATGGATTGAAGCAATTATTATAAAAACTTACCATAGAAATACTGTGAAGGATGATTCATTGTCAAAAATAAAAAATAAAAAGACAGCAATTACTTAAAAATGATGTTGGGATACATGTCCGAGACACACAATGAAATAAGCTGACAGGTATGAAAAGACACTTTGTTAGTGTTGCCATTGTGATCACTGATAAACGGCGGCTTTCAACTTTAAAGAAGCCGAAGGAACAATCCCATGTTCTGGTGTGATGTCTACACAACCTATAGGGTTCATCCCACATCTGTTTAGTATTATTCTCTTATCAAAAAGTAACAGTTAATAAGGAATCAGATGATCTAAAAGACTGCCAGGTTCAAGCAGTTTCCCTTAACTTCCTGGGTGTTGTTTTAGATATGACAGGTTTCCTGCAGACTGGCCTAATAATGGAAGGCATCTGAGTATTGAACACAACGAATGCCAGGTGCTGTCAGCACCAGGCAACAAAATGGTTTTAAAGCTGGAAGCTTTGGCACACCAGCTGTACATCTGAAAGCAGCTGTTTCAGTGCCACAAAGCTCTACCTGAAACATAAGTGGCAGAAAGAAATGTACATTTGAGATGATGGGAAAGAGAGAGACTCTCACTACACTGTTAAAAGAGTCACTCCTTTAAAAGAAGGACCTTAAGGTACAGTGGGGGAGAGGACCAAGGTGCATCACACGCATCGGCCTTCTAGCTGCCACAAGGGGTTGCTGAGGATAACTTCATATAATCCTACAACAGCGAGGAGTATGAACGCCTAGTGTGGCAGACTGCAGCAGGTCTAAATAATTCAACAAGGTCAGACGGTTCTTCGCCAGAGAAATCACTTTAAGATGATGTGGTAGCCATCGCTTGTGTTGTCTGCAAAGAGAAAAATGGGAACTTTGTTTTATTTACAAAATAATACCTACACAATACATTTCTTTACTTTTTTCACATTGAAACCACAAAATAAATTTTTTATCTGTTAGACCAATGCAGAAAATAGACATGGTTTTCAAAGTATAATAACAGTGTATTCAGTATTCAGCGCCTGAGGCAAAACTTTAGAGAGTCACAGTTTACTGCACTCTACACCAGCAGGTTTTTCAAGGTACATCTCTGTACGCTGAAGGCCTAGAAATTGAGATTAGTGCTAAGGTTGTGCCAATAAAAATATATTTATTCACAAAAGAATCGCAATTCTCAATTTGATTCAGAATCCATTTTTATAATACTCAAAATCCATTTTATTTAAAAAAAATTAAAAAGCTGTGCTCAATAGCTCACAGGTTAGCCCCTTTTAGTTTTTTAAGTAACGCATATGAAGTTATACTACTTTAAACTTTCATTCAACAACAACCGTTCCTTTTCTACAAGTAGAATAACTGTTTTGTCTAAAATCTACACAAAAGTCATTTTTTTAAGATGATCCAATCTTCTTGCCCTGCCCTCAGATCTTAATAAAAAGAATAAAAGAAGTACAGAGACTTTTGTCATCTACTTAAATACCAGAGCTCAGTCTTTCTTACAACGCACGTCTTGCCTTCAAGACCCTTAGAATGATTGTTTTCTAGTGGCTGCCAAATAAACGTAAAATAATAGCAAATATAAGTCATGATGAGTTGAGACTCCAGAAGAGATTTGACTCTTATGAAATGGATGCAATCTAGTTTGAGTGGCGTCTGCATATTGTGACGTCATCTGCAGGTCCAGCTGCAGACCAATGCAAACTCTAGTGCTTCATGAAGCTTTCTGCTAGCTCCAAGGGGGCTGAAAATATAACTGTCTATCGCTTATTTCAAGAGCCTAAGTTCTGAGGCCATATAATGTGATGGAGAATAAGAGGATTACCTGCACATTGCAGACCAAGGTACGCTATACTGTACCATAAATTTTTCAGTGAGACAGCTGTGCTAAAACTTTATGAAGAAATTAAAAGATTTCTTTTAAAATGAAAATTTTTTTTTTTTGACTAAACCATTTCTATTATACAGAAGAACAGTTTTTTTTTT